ATCACAGTCTTTATATACAGCTAAAATGAGGCACCGAACAGAAATTTTAGATCACTCACATTTCACACGCAACAGCCCAGCGTCAATCGTTACAACACAAAAAAATACATAAGTTTTTGTTTCATTATTGTGAAACTAGTAACTAAGAGTCTCCAGTTGTCAAAGGCCTGAGACTGAAGAGATTGAAGATCATCTTCTGCAAAGTCTGTAGCAACCGCAACAAGATGGCACGCAACAGCAGTAAGACGGTTTACAACTGCAGTAAGATGGCGCGCAGCAACAAGGTGATGCGCAAGCTGAAACTATTAGAGCTCCACCACAACCTACGCAACATCGTGGACCACCGCAACTGCTACAGCAACAACGGGGCTGGCCAAGACTGGTAGCAGTTACAGCTAATCTACTTTTGACAGCGCAGGTAATTGGAGGTGGCTGAACCTGACAAGTGACTGAGGGAGATTGAACCGAAGTGCATACCGGGCGAGGCTGCACAGTACAGCAGGTAGAAGGAGGCTGTAGTGTACAGCAGCTTGCTGGTAAAACACCACCACTGCAGCAGCATGATGATTGGCAAATACAACATCTGAAATGTAAATTTAAGAAGATGAAACATAATTGTTCTTGGCAGCATCATTCTGTTTGTTTCTCAGTTCAGAAATTGGTAGCTTTTAAAGTAATTCCAAGAGGTTTGAATATCAAAGTTTTCGCGTTATGTCTTCATCACCTTCTAGTTCTGATATTATTGGAAGCAGTAGCATGAGTAAAAGTCATCTTATTCGGTGTTAGGTGTTCCTGAACGGTAACGATGACCACTTTCTGATTTTGTTGTTGGGGAGCTGGAGCAGTCTATAAAAAGTCTATCCCAGTTATCATTAATTTCTTATAAATTTGAGCAAGTTTGTAAAATTGTCGACTTAAATTACATTTAACTTCATTAAGAAAGAAGTTTAGAATTACTTTATAGTTTCTTTAAAGTTGTCAATAATAAGGGATAAATGTCTGATATTTGAGTTAAAAATTTCTTTATGGCTAACTGTGAGAGATTCCAACCTGAACTAGGCTAATCGCCATCAACACGAATACAACACCTAAAATATTAGCCTCAAACATTGTGCTCTCCGATAAATTTTCAACAAGAAGTGTTCAGTATTTGTGGATGTCTCCTCTCTTATAAGACTTCCGACTACAGATTGCGAAGCAACTAATGAACTGGTAATGGTCCGCTAAATCTGTCAAATATCTAATTAAGCTGCTGTCATAAAATGTCTTCTCACTCCTTCGTTATTGCTGAGCGAATTAGGATTGTTTTGCTTAGCTATTTCAAAAGCAATGTTTTCGCTGTATTTATTGTTTGAGCCATTTTTTTTCAGCGCGAATATCTCTGGAACATTCATAATTAATTAGCCTAACTGGAGTAATTTGACAGTAAATCTTCAGACCTCACCTTTTTCTTTCAGTACAGTTACGAATGCTGGATACCAAAGCGAAACGAACGATGTTAGATGAAGAAAAAAAAAAGCTGAGAACTGTTATTTATGTCCTTTACTCATTCAAGAATTGTTTCACCAATTTTAGGTACTGTTCTTCTCTTTGTGAAACTGCTTTCAATTTGCCTCTCAATTTTCCTGAACTTTTGCAGGAAATTTTCTTTTTGGTGACGTATACAAAGAAAATGAATATTGCAGCAATCTTAGTAGTCTTTTTCAAGCCTTCACACCGGCAGAAGCTAAATCGTAGACAGTGTTTTGTGCATACAAGAAAGTAACACCTCTACAACCGTACTTCAATTTTTTTTAATACGAGGTTAGAGCATCTAAGGATTGGGAAGGCTTTAGTTGTTCAAATAAGAAAAATAAATAGGGACAATTTTTTGTTTGCTGTTTGCAATTTTCCGTAAATTTAGTCTGTTGTTTTGACAACTTGTTGGTAGATTTCTGGGTTGCTGTGCTAATTCGTAATTGTTTGTTTGGATTGGTTTCAGCGACCAAATCCCCATTGTTTGCAGCTACCGGTTTCTTTCCTCAAAAAATTTATGTTTACTCTTTTCTTTTTTTTGCTTATAACATGCATTACATTGTTTTTTTTTCTAAATTTTTTCTTGTTTTTGTTAGATGGTTTTTGATTAGAATTAGGTGTTTAATAAAATTTGTCTATGGCCGCAGAAGTTTTAAGATTAATTGGCACACGTATAAATTTTGTTGTCACATTTACTATTTGTCCGAGCAAAAAAAATTGGATAAAGCATTGAGAAAATACTGCTGGGAAAAATAATGCCAAATCGATAGTTGAAAATAATGAGTGGATGAATTATTAAAGTTGGTATCGGATGTGATCTTCTTTACTTTGGCTTCTTTTAGCCAGTTTTTTTGATAACGTACGCTCATCAAGTATTACTTTTCTAATGAATCATTAATAAGCCTAATTGTTGGCCCATTTTTCTTTCCTGTCTCTTGATGTTTTGATATTTTTCTTCTTTGTGTGTGCTGGTGTATTTGTTTGTGTTTTGTATGGAAATACAATTAGTGGTATCATTGATGTAATAGATTTAAACCGAATCATTGATTTAGTCGAAGAATATTGTGCTGCTACAAATAACTGTCGTCTTATCCATTATTCAGACCACCTTAAACTAGCGGTATTATTTATTCGAATATAAAACAAACGTTATTAGAGAAATAGAAAGAACAGAAGAAAAAAGACCTAACAACTAATGACAATGACTAAAAAATATTCATTTCATTCTGTTGTTTTTTGCTACGAACTTTACACTCTTTGGCATGGTGGAGCACATTTTTAAATGCATGAAGCTTGCACTTAATCCACTGGTGTCATACAGTATTCAAACGTCTCTGGGCATCTATTGAGGTTTCAGAAAAATTATGTTCTTTTGGGCTTTTATTGATTCTACAATTGTTGAAGTTTAACGAATTCCCATTTATTTTACCACTTATTCTATATAACTGGAACAGCTACTGCGGCACTAGAAAATTTAATAACAATTTTTTGCTTTTAATATCCATGAGCTGTAGAATGTCACCTCCCCAGCAAACTGTACTGTTAGTTTCATCTTCACCACTTCATATCTTTAAGTGTATCAAACCAACTGTTAGGGAAAAAATCAACAACGAAACCAGTATAATTAACATATTTTTGGCTTTATTGTACAGAATACAGCATACTCAACAGTATCAGGTTTCAAGTATTTCTTGGCTGTGCATAATTTAATAATTAGGGTAAAAAAGTTGCTTAGACAAATACCAATGTGTAAATCTGCGTGGAGAAACCTAATGAATTCTGATTTGTTATCAAAAATGCATAAGATTTGACCGAAAAAATAAGAAGAATTTCTGGTTTTTTTTTTTTAACTTCAGAAAAATATGGACTTAAATCGCTAGAAAGATTAGCAAAAATAATTTTTTTTTTTTTGTTCAAGAAGGTCAGTAAAAAACATTTGTGAATTGCAAGAATTTTCCAATAAATATTTATGTCAAAAAAGCGAATTGTAAAAACATCCAAAATTTAGCGCTTTTCTATTCAAAGTTGTCAACGGTAGGCGTGCAACAGAAGCAAAAACAAAGTTTGATGTTGCTCCAACAGATAAGCAAACGAAAAAAAAAATAAAATGTTTGCAAAAAAACGAACATTTGAAAATAAAGGCTTGGCTAAAACAAAAATTATGTGTCACCTGAGAGCAATTTGTCAATTTTTTTTTTGCTTTCTAAACTTTCCCACAGCTTTAAACGAAATTCCTCTAACTGACACTTTTGACTTCCACTCGTTCATTGTGTTCAGGAAAAGTTTTATGACTGGTTCAATAGAAGTTTGCCTTCACAGTAAAATCACTTCAGTATTGTATTTCAGAACACATCAACACACAGTTGACCGTTCCTCATTGCTCAGTTTCTCCTTGGCACGCCAAACAACAAGAACAATTTTTTGTTGCATCACCGTTAGAACCAAATAAACTCCTTGTCAATATTCTGAACCACTTGACACCAAAAGTTCAAAACACCAGTTTTGAAAAGTGTAAAACTATGCTTTACTCTACTAAATCCGATCAAAAAACCAAGCAATCAAGTTTACACATTAATTTGCAACAACTATAGCCAACAGCTAATAAACTAATCCTTCTTCGTTTTTGTTTTTGCCACTGCCAATCAAAGTTACCAGTTCTGGTCTTCACTTAACTTGTTCTTATGAATTCGCAGTTCTGAAAAATTATGCTAATTGAAAAGCTTTTTAACTGACTCGTTAAAAAATTTTAACGATAAAGGATTTTATGTCAAGGCACTGTTAATACAGTACTAACAGACAATTGAAGAATTCAAGCAATTCAAGGAAAATAAATTTTTCACAATCAGTTCCATTGATAATAGCTCTTTCAAAACTTTCC